CGGTCAAACTCGGCGCTGGGGGCTTGGTGAAGCGCCCAAGTGGCTGCGTGCTGCCCACCAGCCTGGCAATTCACAGTGAACATTGAAGCACGTGTTGACAGCTGCTACGGACCAGTTGACATCAATCGATGGCACCTGGGAGCACGCAGTCTGCGCCGTCAGTGGTCTGTTGCGGCGTTTAGTGGGGCCCAAGTGCGCAAGTACGCTCAATGAAGAGCTCCAGATGTCAACCCTGGCGCCGTCTGGTCCACGGTCTGGCAGGCGATGGCTGCCTGACTTGGCCTGACCTGGCCTGACTGGGCCCGACTAGGCCCGGCCCCAACCCAAACCACTTGCACGCAGACACCAGTACTCATGTTGGCCAAACTCTCAAGTGCTGCCGTCGTTACCAAGTCGCGTCCCAACATTTAATTGCCTCCTGGCTGATCAAAAAATTCCAAGAAAAGCATCATTGATCATTTCTGTTAATGCTTCTCTTACGCTCTAAAGCTCCCCGGACCGGCACTGACAATGTGGAGGCAGTCGTCCTGCTGCAGTTGCGTAACGCGTCACCACCTGAACGCACATTGACTCGCAGCGCAGACAAGCTGCAACTACATCAACATGAGTCCAGGCCACAGCTAGCTCTCTTCTGTGCATGTCAGGCACCTGTCAATACATCGTCCATGAGTCATTTAGCTTTCGCTGCCCGACGCCAGAGCTGATTTAAGCCAAGGTGAACCGGCGCCAGCCAAAATCGACTTTGATGCTTTCTACCCTTGAGTTCGTTGAGGGACAGAAATTCTGTTATCACGAACGAATTCCCCGTGCCTTTACCAACCGAGGGCATCATCTAACAGGTTAGCCAGTGCTCTATCCCTGGTGGTAGTATTCATACACATCCTATAGGTATGGTAAGGTGCTCCGAGACAACTTACCAAAGTTAAGAAACCATGCCCCTTTCTGCTTACCGACAGCGCAAGAAACTAAGACCAGACGTTTTCCCCCCACGCTCCTCAAACTATTATTCTTGCGTCGGCAAGACGAGTCGGCGCATTTCCCTCCAGCGACAGCATGCGGCTGGATCCGCCGCACAAATGAGGCTGACGAAACGACTGGCAAGGAACCACGGTGGCAAATTCTTGTCTGGAAGGGAAAACGGAACAGTCTTGGAGGAAGCTCATTTGCCAATGGCTTGTTGGCCAAACCCCGACACCGAAAATGTTTGCTGTGCTAGTTGGCGGACTGACCCATGCAAGGCAGATAACACCCCCAGGCCATCATCGAGTGGCAGCTACACCAAAACCCACCATCGCGAGGTAGTCGATTTCTCAAACATTTTAACTCGGCCATTCTGATGGCTTGCGTCTGGTTCATTGTTCATTTCCGGCAATGAAACCATTCTTACAACAACGGTGTCCAGGCCACTTGTTTTGCTCCCAACGCACCCCTATTCACCACACCACATTCACCTGCATTTTGTGCCAACACATCATGCAGTTTCACCCAGGCGAAACAAGGCTTCAGGCTTCTTGAAAACGAAAAAAAAAAAAAAACGAGTTGCCACCAAGGCGATGGGATGACGATGGCAGAACATGAACAGACCAGAAATGATTCTCCGTTGGCCATGGAGTTGCGAGAGTGGCTACGGGCGCCGACTACCCTGGTACATGCGTCGCGTGTGACCGAATTTGGCCAAAATCCCCTTCTTCTCTCCCTTTTTCCGAAGGCAAAAAAAACCATTTTCTCTCTGCGGGCGCCATTTTGGTGGTTGTTAGGCGCCTAGTTACATCATATGCAGGTAAGCTTGGGCTCTGGCTTGTTGCGCGACTGCTTCCCTCGCTTCCGTCTGTCGTCAAGACTCAACAGCATGCGACTTGCCGCCATAACGCGAATGGCTGATGTGCGGATTTGCATTTTACCCATCTCTGCTTCGGCACCATACGGGCCATTCGCAAGGCTACCAGGGCGGAATCTCGAACGATTTGTGCATTCCAGGATGCTCGATACGGACAATGCTGTCGATGGCAACGGCAGCTAGGGTCCAGCCAACCCCACCATCGACGTCAGTGGCAATGATCTCATTGTCGAAAGTCGATGCAACTTTGCGATTGCGCCTCCGGAAGTGGGAAGCCACACGCCAGGGACGTGGCAGTCCAACCTGCATGGCGGAATGCAGAATACAGGAATTTCAGGCCAAGGAGTTGTCGCGTGAAAATCGTGACCGGAGCGCATTCTGTTTCTACGTCTCTGATCCTTTAGCTTTGGGCAACAACACGTCAAATACGTTCATTCTTGATTGTAGCTCGAGCCTTGTCACCAATCTTTTGAGATTGATTCGGAAAGACAAATTGCATTCCTCTGGCTCCTCGGTCGAGGAGATACACATTATAGGTGTAGCTCCCCGCCATGTCACAGAGGGGTCATCAAGGGGCGCCCGACAAGATCTGAACAAGGCAGCAACTCGCTGAGCAACCCCTCGCCATGCCACCAGGGCTCGTTTTCGGCCATGCCATGCCGTCATTTCTTTGATCAAATGACTGGAAATATGACATCCAGCCTGTAGGATCACATCCTGAAGACCCCTGCCGCTGGCATCACCAGTGTCGTACAATTTTCGAGAGCTCACTAGCTCCCGGAGATCGACCTGAAGCTTTTGCGCACACACGTATGCTCACCGACAAATAAGCGCATTGGGCATATGTACTTCGGTTGGTTGCCTGTTTGGGTTCTCCTTCCGCTGTGAATTATTCCATCGGCTATATGCTGTGCTTACCCCTTCACTCACTCCCCTGACAGATGCAAGAAAAGGGAAAGGGGCAAAACGGCTAACATATTCCCAAGGGCAATTGGGCGAACCAGCCTTCTGCTTGTCACCCGGGCCCAAATTGTACCAAAACTGCCGCACACCCCGTCTTCGCTTTCCGTGGCGGCTGTGGGATTTCCATTTCCATACTACATACAGCCTTGCTTTACAGTAAATGCATTGAGGCCAGAAGTTGTGGCAAATTGCGACCCGTCTCCTCTTACTCCGGTTGTCTCCCCGTGCCGCCCATAAATTCGGCACCTCATCCCCGTTCCTTTGCCACCCGGGCGATAAACTGTCTGCTCAGGTTTCAACCCAGCTAGGAATGCCTCAAGTCCATTGGACTGCCTCTTCTCTTCATATCACAAGAAACATGTTTTGATCCAAAGTCAAGTCAGTGGACTGCAAGTACGTTGTTCCTCAAGTCTCCGCGTCTTGCAGTCGCCGGTGTCTGACCCTGCGCAGCCGCAACTGTATCCTTTGGGATGCCGTGTACAAACACTACCAATCGTTAAATATCTTCTTCATCACAAAACCCCGCATTCGCTTGCTCAACATATCCAACTCCCAGCCAGCCTGACCGAGTTGTGGACATGTCCCAGCCTTCCTCGACCGGTGCAGTGCGCCATTACACATCAACACAGTGCGACATAATCCAGCTCTCCATTTACGACGAAGATGTGGCCATCTGATGTTGTTGACGGAAGCAACTATCCCCTTCATCCGGTTAGAGCAGGCTAATCACCTCTGGTGTCAGCAGACCTACCGCTTCTTCACAGACCACTACTTGTCAACTTCCTGCCGCGACAGCAGACCGTTCCTACAGCATCAATCGATTTATCGAGCCGTCCCAATACGTACCGCCCCACCATCCAGATCGATGCCCAAGGGGCCCCATGGGGTACACACCTCTATCTGTGCAGGACGCAGAAAAGCGCGCGAGACAGACTATTGACAGTGTGGACGCTGTTTTCGCATCTCGCTGACGACAGAGTTATACAGTTCCCAGTATAAATTACAGCACCATATGCTTAACATCATGTTTGGATTCACTCAGTATTCTTCGGTTTTGTATTAATATACTTCTATTTGCTACCAAAAATGCATTACGTCCCACGACTTATACACGGCGTTCTAGAAAATGTCCCATTTCCACCCACTTGCCGCATTAGGCAAGTATGCCTTGCTTTTTTTCGCCACGGGCCGTAGCAAATCCCGTCGAATGGTTTGCCTACGTACTTTAATGCGCCTATGACAGTTTATCCTCTGGCTGTATCACATTTCTCGGGTGGTGGTGTATGACAGATGACGCGGCGGCTTCTTCCGTGACAGTACCGCAATTCGCAGGAGAATGTGGGGTAAATTGCAAGCAGGGGTCAGACTACCCAATATATCAAGGCCTGTCTACGGAGTACTAGATTGATTGCTCGGATTCATGCATCTACATCTCCTGCGCAGATAGGACCCCCGTTCTGCAATATACAACTTGCAATACAGTTATTGTCCTCTATTGCCAGCCAACACGGCAGTACATGTCCCAGTTGGGGTATATAACACGGCAGTCCACATCTTATCAGTACATACATCTCAGTGCGTTCCACGATGAGCAGACAGATGTCAAAAATACAGGACATAGGAGGCAGAACCTCCAGTCTATTAAACGCGAAACCAAAAAAAAAGATTCAGCCAGGGCAGGATTCGAACCTACAACCTTCTGACTACGGGGGTAATGATACTATAAGGATACTGGTTCGCTGCGTAGTTAGACGCTCTGCCATTGAGCTACCCGGCCTTTTGTGGCCTTTGTTGGAGGAAGTTGGTTAAAACTAATTTAAGTACCGACTATTATACAACCATCCCTTGGTAGGAACGCTACCAGTCTGCCGTCCCCACGATCTAGTATAATACCCACGCAGACAAACAAGCGAGACGACATTCGTCCCAAAGGCCTCTCGGTCCCCTCCCATCCGTCTATTCCAGAGGAGTCCAAACAAAAACCAGGAAACGACAGTCCGTTTCTAATAAAAAAAACAAGACGGCAGCAAGAAGGGTTGTCTGGAGCAGACCCAGCGCTTGGGCCTGCGTTCCCACCCAACCATGCAACTGCTGACCAACTAGGTTCTTCTTCTATATCTTCCTTCTTCTTCTTCTAATCTCGCACGCCCCCTTCTTCTTCTATGCGTCTTTTATGCATCGTGACAAAAGGAAAGGGTATTTATTTGGCGATTTCAACTCCACCGGTGGCTCCCAGGGCCTTCTTCAAGTCACCATAGATGGCGAACTGACCGGCAGTCAAGGTACCAACCATGAAGAGACGAGCGCCAATACCAGTGTACGAGCCACGGAAACCAAGCTCCTTGGCAATCTTGATGAGACGGGAAGTGGTGCCCTCACCAGGAAGACCCTTGGTCTTGTTGATCTTGGAGAGCATAGTGTCGGCGGGCTGAGAGACAATGGCGGCAGCGAAACCAGCGGTCAAACCGGCCGCCAGGTTGGCAACGGTCTGCATGCCATCCGAAAGGGTCTCCTTGGGGTACTGGCGGAAGATGGCCTCAGCAGCCTTCTCGTAGACCACAAACTTGGCCATGGTGTAGGGGATCCTAGCGAATTGGGTTAGTCGCGTTCACGAGGCGTCGGGCACATCGTGGCCCGGGGCCGGCGGTGGCAGGGACACTCACTGCTTGAAGAGGATAGGACCGAAACCAGCGTAGAAGGCGCCGATACCCTCGTTCTTGAGCATCTTGGAGAAACCTCCAATCAGACCGTTGGCATAGGTGGGCTCGGAGACGAGACGGATACGGGTGGCCTCGAGAGGGCACAGGGCGATGTCAGCGAAGAACTCGGCGGCGGCGGAAGAGGCGAGGTAGACGGCGGTGCGGTTCTGCGAGGCGGTCTCGTAGCCGAGGGTGTTGATCCACTGCTGCTTGAAGAATTCGTAACCGCCGAACTTGAAGGCTCCCTGGAGGAAGTACCCGGCAAAGGTAGGGCCGACACCAGTCAGGAGAGCGCCAGCACCCTCGTTCTGGATGACCTGGCGGAAACCGCCAATCATGCCACGGTTGTAGGTCTTGGGGTCGAGCTGGATACGGGTCTTGACGCTGTTTTTTTCGCAGAAACGTCAGTATACATGCGGCGTAGAAAAGGGCCAGGGGGGACGCAATTGCGCTCGGCCTCTCAAACAAAAGGGGTTGCGAATGACGCCATATGCAGCAGAAGGCGTCGGGATCGAGAGAGAAAAAAACATACACATCGACGGGAGTAAGACCACCGTGGGTGACGGAGCAGCAGACGGCACCAGCAAGGGCGAATCGGGAGTACAAGGCCACGCCGGAGAGCTGGGCAGGCTCGGCGGCCTTGACATTCTGGACGATGGCATCGACCTTGGCCGAGCCAGTGGATTTTGCGTCGGTGGCCATTGTGACTGACGGTTACGAGCTTCTTCAGGCAAGACTGAAGAGGACAGGTACAGAGTGGAGTTGGGGTGGAAGAGAAAACAAAAGTCGAGGTGTCGACGTGGAGTGGGTTGGGATAAGAAGGATCGCAGAGGGAGAGGAAGAGAGAGAAAAAAGCCTGCGCGGCTACGAGGTCTTTTCGGCTGTCTCACGGAGGAGCGGACAACTGGCCAAGGGACGGGAGAAAAAAAATTGTTGCTCGTTCGGAAACAGTCGGGTCTTCCCATTGGACGTTGCGGCCCACTCCGCCCTCGCTCAGGCACCGCCATCAGCCACTCTTCTGTTTCTGATTCTAACGCTCGACTGTTGGCGCCGGCTCGGTCAGCCCGACGAGAAGCGTTCCGTCTGGCGGCTCGCCTGGTAGAGATGGTATCTCCAACGTGAACCAACCACCGGGAATGCCAAAATATGACAGAGGGCCTTGTTCTTCTCAATCAGCATCTAGTACTCGGTAACTGCGGAGTACTCTTGACACCATTTTGCCCCATCAACGGGACGGAGGAGTCGCGTTTATCTGCGCCACACCAGTTCAATCAACCCCGTACTCCCGTTCCGTCCCCATCGAGATTGCTTTTGCTGTGGCTGGTGCTTCATGCCGGGAATACCTCGGGTGGTCCTGCAAACCATTCAGCAGGTCAGGCACGCCAACGTGTCCGTCCCAGCCAGCTTTGATGGTGCGCCTCCTTGTGAAACATTCCAGATGTCATGTCTTGTGCATTCCCGCCTTCTGAGCCTCTTCCTCATGTGATTTCTACCCATGTTCCTGGCGGCAGTGAGGACGCAGCTAGAACCTCCAACCATACGGACTTTTACCAATAAAGTTACTGCCCGCAACACTCTGTCTGATGCCCCCAGATAACTGAAACGTCAAGTTGCGTCACACTCAACCCCAGTGAGTGAGTGCATGGTGCGCCATGGCGATCCCTCTCGGTCGACCAGCTGTATCTGACCTACCCTATACCTCTCTCCGGAACTAGTAATGCTAGTTTTTCTGTACCCCGGTTCCTGTGCTGTAAAATCGTGAGTAACCATTGCCTGTGTCTTTATTCAATACGTGCATGTTTAATGCACGTCTGGTCTAGAGGTGTATCTGAACGGATTACTCCGTACCAATGGTCGGATCTATCCGGGCGTCGTGTGTTGCAGCCTTCCACCCGCCGCCAAACTCGTCGCTGGGAGTGAATTCAGTATTGTCAACAAAGACAGCTCCCATAAAATGAAGTTTTTTTACATGATGATCCTGTCGGTCTGGCCGACTTTTTGTCTCAATACGCAGACTGCTTAGGACCTGCGGCTTCACTGCCTTCAATTATGGATACATGGCTGGATACAATCCCACTTGGGTTAGTTCAAGATATCTATCACATGAAGAAATTCCCGCGCTTTTTGTATAGGAAGATTGTTTGTGCTTTGCAATAAATTAAAGATGCATCTTCCACGGACAATGCCAATTCAGTTGGAGTATTTTTATTCATGCAGCTCTTCTCCGCTGGCATCATGACCCAGCTTGCGGGTTGCAGTTGAGTGTCTGGGTCTCCATTCACGGACAATGGTCTTAACTCCAAGGCTATCTCCGTTCAATATGACAAGTCTGGTGGACTATTTTGCATTACAAATGGATAGTCGTCTCGAGTCCCGCCACTGCCGATATTGCTGCCAAACGCCGATGTCAACGGCGATAAGCCCGTGTTTGTAGTGACGCCACGGAATTTTGTGAACCTTATTAGGCGGGAGTTAGGCGCGCAGTTAAGCGCTGATGCCTCGACGTTCACCGATGGCTCCGTCAAGTAGATCGCGTCCATCATGATACGGTGGGCATCGCCGGATGACTCGACTCTGGTCCTCCACTCTCAAGCCCCAAGCTAGATTGGTGGATCGCGGCCAAGTTTACTTCGTAGAGCAGCATTGATTAGTAGCTGCGGGTTGTCGGCACTGCAGCAAGCTGCCGATGGGATGTTCCTTGGTGCGTGCGGGTCAGAGCAGGCCTTTGTATCGAATGCGACAAGGAGCGATGTCCTGATTCTGGTTGCGTTACCCCGTGGCGCCCAGCTCTGGAAGAGTGCCGCGGTCATGGATGGCGGTAAACCCCACTTCAGGCAGTCTGAATAGACTTTCTCGGGGATAAACTTTGAGGGAAAAACCATGGAGATAAGTCAAGGCTATGGCGATCGACATCTGCTTGACAGTATAAAGGGTGTTGCCCCCCTCGTGCTGCAAGTCTTTGCCCCTCTTCTGCATACCCTTCTCTCACGTCCTACCTGCCCCATTACCGTTATTCCGCCTTTAGATTTGACGCAACATCAACTGTTATACAATGACCGATTACAAGTTCGAAGGATGGATGGGCCTGGATGCCGAGTCCGCCAAGGGCAACATGGTCTGGCAGGAGTACGAACCTAAGCCATGGGAGGAAACAGATGTTGATATCAAAATCACCAATTCTGGTATCTGTGGTTCAGATCTGCACACCCTCAGATCCGGCTGGGTAAGCACAGAACTCCGTGTTTTAACTGTTGAAAATACCTTGGGTCGGATGTTCAAAAGACTATGCTGGGGCGGTTTCTGTCCATCAAATAGGTCGAATATAAATTGCTGACGTCTGTCTTGCTGCACAGGGCCAAACCCCCTACCCTTGCGTTGTCGGACACGAAATTGTTGGTGTAGCCGTTCGGGTCGGTTCCAAGGCCGAAGGTGGCATCAAGGTCGGTGACGTGGTTGGAGTTGGTGCGCAATCCGACTCTTGCCTCGGCCGTGATGGCCCCTGCAACGAATGCAGCCACGATGCTGAGAACTACTGCACCAAGGTTATCAACACATACGCCTCCGTACATAGGAATGGTGGGAATGGATATGGCGGCTATGGTCTTTACCACCGGTGCCCGTCGCACTTTGTGATTAAGATTCCTGACGGGCTTGCCCCGGAGTACGCCGCCCCTATGCTCTGCGGTGGCGTGACTGTGTACTCGCCTCTCAAGCACTTTGGAGCTGGCCCGGGCAAGAAGGTCGCCGTGGCGGGGGTTGGTGGTCTTGGACACTTTGCTGTCTTGTTTGCTAAAGCTTTGGGCGCAGACGAAGTTGTAGGAATTTCCCGAAAGGCAAGCAAGAAACAGGAGGCTCTCGATCTGGGCTGCGACGACTACATCGCAACAGAAGATGACAAGGACTGGGGAAAGCATAATGCCCGCCGGTTTGATCTCATCATCAGCACCATTTCCTCCGAGAAGGTAAGCCGAACCCTATTTCTGCTATTGTGCATGATGACTTGACTAACATGCGGTATAGATGCCTCTAAGCAGTTACGTTGACACACTGAGGTTGGATGGTACACTCGTCCAGGTTGGAGCCCCCGAAGGTCCCGTGCCCTTGCACATCTTTAGCATTATTCCTGGCCGTCGCCGAATTGCCGGATCCGGTATTGGCAGCCCGAAGGAGATTCGAGAAATGCTCCAGTTGGCCGTGGACAAGAAGATCAAGCCATGGGTTGAGAAGCGCCCAATGAAGGATGCTAACCAGGCCATCGTTGATATGGAAGACGGCAAAGCAAGATTCCGATACGTGCTGCAGAATTAGAATATGTTGCGGGTATCGTATTCCATTTGGGAGACAATTTCGGAGGCGGGGTCTATGCCGTAAAGGTTGCCCCAAGTTTCTGGGACGCGAGATTCGTGGAGGCTGAGCGGAATGATTAGAGGAGTTTTGGGTATGCCCTCCAGATGTAGAGCAGCAGCAATATCACAAAAACCGCATGTGAAGCACATGATACGCAGTCCAAGAATGCCCTGATGATCCACCGGACTCGAGGGTAGGCCGTGATTGTTTTAGGGCTGAAAAGCGACTATAGATAGGCACCTCGGAGCGAAGCCGATATCGTATTCCCTCGGTCGATGTTGAGCCGAATGCGATGTGGTTCTATTTTGAGAGGGCGCACCACAGGGGCAGGCCCACGAGTGCCAGAGCCCCAGCCGGGAGTCTAATTGTGCCATCTGGTATTAGTAGCGTCAAGGTAAGCGTTGGGCTCTTGGCTATGGTGACATGGAGATGCACAGGACGCTGTCATGTCTTGTGATGGAGGGGTCGAGAGGGGAGAAAGTGGGGCCGGCCTGAGTGATGCAGTAGCCGTCCTCGTATTCAACACACCAAGTGGGAAGGAGCTATCAACGGCCTGGCCCAGGTGTGACTATGCACAGCTCCAGCTTCATGACGCTTTTTCTCGTTCAGGATTTTCTTCCCTCGTCCCTCAGCCGTATGCGGTTGATGTCTTCTCTCCCAGCCCGCCATGCCTGCCGTGATACCGTGGCGTTATTTCTTTTATCGTGCTCCAAGAGGACGCGGGTCAGCTGCCCCGTATCTTGGTAGCCAATGCAGGGGCCGTTGAGCCTGTAACACAGGTGCTATTAGATGTTGCTGAACAGAGATTGGGCTGCAGTACGACGTATGAGTGCAGAACTGGCAGTTTATTCTCGTCGGGTCTGGTTTGATGACGATATCTCTCAACTAAGCTGAGCTCCAGCTGGAGTACACTGGCCATCGGACCGTGGAAGGATGTTCAGACAGCCAACCAAAGAAGTCCCACAAAGGAACGATATCAGCAGGCGGATTATTAACACGAGGTTTACCCCAACATACACAATACTTGGGTTCACTAGGACAACGGACAAACCGCCTGGCCCACAGACTCAAAAGCTGGCTTCTCTGGCCAGCCTTGACCGGCCGTTGACAGACGCCAGGCCGCCACCTGGGAACCTGCTCCGTACATCATGCATGCATCACCACTTCAATCAACCACCAGCCGAATGGTGCCAAGCGGACGGACTTTGTCGTCTAGCCTCTCCCCCAATCACGGCTCGCAGGACCCTTGGACAAGTGACCCATTTACAGCAACCCCTGTTATCGGGGGCCAACCCGAAGAGTCGCGTTGCTCCAAAGACAAAAAATTATCTGCAAGCGATTGAAAGTCACGCATCAAATCACTCAGACAGGTCCGGCTAGCTTAGCTTGGCGCTGATCCTCGTGCCATCCTTCTCGAACAGTATTATGGACGTCATTGATCGAAAAAGAGGTATGATGAAGGCCGAAATGACGCAGTCAAAAATAGACCCAGGCACATTGACAATCAAGACCAAGGGATTGACGATCTAGCTTGGCCAACTGCGATCCTTTATGTACCTATGGAGTAGGTATATCGCTATTCAAGGATTTTATGTAGCATCAAAACCTGCGTTGGCGGTTTCCAACCCCAGCGCACTGCTCCGGGACACGATTTTTCTCACTTTAGAATGAAAGTCCTGGTATCTCATACGATATTGTACCCTGCGGTGTTGGGTCTTTTTGAGGGCAGTGTCTTACTGAGTTGATGTTTGACCGAAATGCGCAATGCAACACGAGAAGTGGCGGGTGGTGGCCTACCACTAACTCCAGTTCCAAGCTCAATCAAGAATCGGCTTCTATTCCTGCTTGATTGGACAAGAACAGGCCTGTCAGTTTCTGTTTCCTAGCCCCTGGGAGGCGCGGGTGGGAAATCGAAGGAAAATCTCTGCAGGCTCGTTCATCAGGCAGCCAGCCTACGATTCTGCCTAGTTTCACCACATGAAGGGCGCATAGCCTTTTCGAAGCCAGGTGGATGGGTTTCTCCAGGAAGTTGCGCCGTGTTTTCTCGGCCAATACGCAATGTCGCGATTTGGATTGCTTTGGACAGCGACATGTTGAGGTCGTTGAAGCCAACTCCCCGCAATGGCCCACTGGCAAACAGAGAAGCAGCGAGAAATAACGCATGATGCTACAATGTACACCGCACTCCGTCCCGGCAAACGAGAGAGGAGCCTGTTGTTCAATCGGGAAGTGTTTCCCTTTGGCCAGAGAGCGGCGCTCTTCGACCCATTTTGACCCGGCGACATGGTCGTAGTGTGGTTTTGTCCCCGCCGCCTCCAAACCATGTCCTTCGAAAAGGAAATTCTGCCACGCGAAAGAGGAGGCTCTAAAGGCGCCGGTTCCTGGCCCTCGACGCCTTCTTTCAGCTCAACTTCAGCCTGGCGCCCAGGCAGGTTGGACCGTTGGGCCAGTGGGATTTGGGAACGGAGCAACCATGCGACGATGACGGCACAAACGCCCCAGGAAATCCGCACTGCTAGTGCCGAATCGGAGTTTCCCACAGGGCGGACCCATATTTGGATCGAGTCCGGATGAAAGAGGAGGAAGGAATCCATCATGTCCTACAAAATAGGCATTGCAGCTTAACAAACAGTCTTGCAGGACCTCAACAGCTCAGGTTCCCGCCCAACCCTTGGAAGTGCAGTGGTGGAAACACGACGATGTTGCCGCTATGCCACGACGGGAAGCTAGGGGGCGTTTGGTACGATGCTGGCCCTTGTACATTGGCTGGCTGCCCATGATGGTTTCTCGCGGTTTGACCTGGCGCGGTCGGATTGGCCTCGCATTGTTCGGCACCAGCCAGCCCTGGTGATTGGGAACAAGACGAGCCATCCTGGCAACGGGCGACTGGCAACCTGACTGGGCCTTCTGGGTTGTTTAAAGTGGTCGGGTGAGCGCCGCCGAACATGACGCACCCCTGCACCCCCACGCCCAATCACACGGTTTGTCAAGCGCCTCGGATGGCCAACGCTCGAGGTGTGGGCTATGGCGGCGATGCAGGGTTACTTACAGGATCTCGTATTTCTGAATTTTCTGGCTAGCAACCAAGGCTGGCAATAGCCGTGTCTGCCCTGTTGGTACCAACGAAGTAATGGTTTTGACAAGCCTGCTTGGCCTCGGAACCCAGCCCGGATCGCTGATAAAAGGGACTGGACGCCTTTGCTCCGGGAAAACTTGTTTCTAGATTCTTCCCATATTTCACTGTCGTTTGTTATAAAAGCCTTTCGTTACAAAGACACTCGCTATTCGTCACTGCCTACAGCCCTCCGTTAGGACCCCTTCGTTATAATAATAACCTGGCACCCAAACAACCTTCGAGATGAAGGCTGTTTTCGTTGTTGGCGCTCTCGCCGCCTCTGCTGCTGCTCACACGTATCCAAACTGCGAGCATGACAACTGCTACCGTGCTCTGATCAAGGACGGTCTCCAGGACAAGGCCAAGGCCTTTTGCTTCGACTGGCTTGCTGGCACTACCACTGCTGCCTCTGCCATTCCCACCGACTTCAGCAACTGCAACGTCCAGGCCGCCAGCTCTGCTTGCTCCTGCGTCACTTACACGGCTACGCACACAACTGGTCCTACTACCACCTCTACTCCTCCTCCGGTCACCACTACAACTAGCGAGAAGCCACCTACGACCACTCCCACAACCAGCGAGAAGCCTCCTACCACTATCCCTACGACCACCAAGACTGAGCAGCCTCCCACAACGACTCCTACCACTCAGGCTCCTCCTACAACCACTGCCACCACCGAGAAGCCTCATACCACCAGCCAGAGCACCACCAAGTGGACTACTTCCACCATCTACACCACCAAGACTAACACCATCACCTCATGCCCTCCCGAGGTGACCAAGTGTCCTGGCGGTGGCCACACCACAGTCGTAACTGAGACCATCCCCGTCTCTACCACCGTCTGCCCTGTCACGGAGACTGAGGCTCCTCCTACGACCACTGCTACCACCAAGTGGACTACTTCCACCATCTACACCACCAAGACTAACACCATCACCTCATGCCCTCCCGAGGTGACCAAGTGTCCCGGCGGTGGTCACACTACGGTCGTAACCGAGACAATCCCCATCTCTACGACGGTCTGCCCCGTCACTGAGACTCACGCTCCTCCTCCTCCTCCTCCTCCCGCTGGCAACCAGACATCTACCCTCTACACCACCCAGACCTATACCATCACCTCTTGCCCTCCTTCTGTGCCCAGCTGCCCTGTTGGCAAGGTCACCACCACTGTCTACCCCACTGGCACAACCACCATCAAGGGCTGGACCTCTATTCCCGCTGTTCCTACTCAGCCTACTGGAGTTCCTCCTGTTCCCACTCAGGCTACTCAACCTACTGGCGTTTCTCCTTCCAAGACCAATCAGACCCCCCCTCCTGTTGTCACTGCTGCCGCGGGTCAGCTTGTCGGAAGCCTCGAGTTCGTTGCCGCCGCTGCAGGCCTTGCCGCTCTCTTCCTTTAAGGGAAAGCTGCAATATATAGCCTTGTAAGGGCTTCGTTTTAAGATAGCTCATGATTTTTCTTAACTTCTAAGCGTCTCTAAAAGAGAAACGATTAATGTAAATATTAAATTGAACTAAGGGATTCTATCTCTTTTCGGTAGTTGAAACAATGCTAAGCTATTTCTGGGCGACATGGATGAGAACGGGACTAGGTAGGATTAATACGAATAGTATTATTTGAAAATGCAACTCGTCATATATACTATGCGACTGTGCTGTGCCAAATTGCCCCCGGAGACTCTTCCAACATGGTCATTGCTTGATCTAGGCTGCGTGCAGGAACCGCTCACGTGGCTACGCCAGGATGGCCGAATATGACAATATGACTACATGTGACATGACGCGACGAGATTGGACAGAAACACGGGAAATTAGGCTCTCGTCATATTGGGCTGTTGGCTCCTACAAAAAATAGTCAAGTTTGCTTGATGCTTGTGGGAACGCAGAGGTGGGTGGGCCACGGTAGACAAAGACGGCCCAAATGACTTTATGCAGTGCAATGGTCAGTCTGGTTTGTGCGTTTATGAATGAGGAATAACATGTCGAGTCCGTGTTGCTCAGGACACTGGCCGGACCAGACGATTGTTCTTTCGTCTGTGTGCTTGTGCCAATGGGAGTGTGAGAACCGAGCTGCACGTCGCACGGGGTGGTAACCAACCCTCATGTTTCACGCGCGGACGTTTAGAGGGCTAGTGAGTTGACGCGGAATAATCAGATGGTTGTGTTTGCCGAATTGGGCGGGCTTTGGTTGCCGTGGATGGGATGCGCAATTTTCTTTGCGGCCCTAGTTTGCAACCGAAAATCTTGCTGAACTAATTTCCCGGGATGACCTGAAGTGGCTCGCCGTATTGGCAAAATGAAGAATCCATCCGCAGAGCATACTCGTGCTGTTGATGCGGACGGTCGCAGTATTGCGTTTTCGGGTGAACAAGACGGGGCTTGCGAGGTGGGCTGAACGCCGCCGAAGAAAGAGACTACCGTCGTGAGTTGCATATTTGGACTCAGGCGCGTTACAACCAGCTCGGCGGCAAAGCGTCATGCCAGATTCAACTCTGCCTGTGCGGGACGTCGGTGCGGTCGGTGTCTTAGATTGAAAAACGCGAATGAGCTACGCACGAAGCTGGACGGGGATTGTGGATGCTGGATGATGCCCGGGGACCGACAATAAACCAGACGGCGATCGTTCGACTGTCTATGACGTGAACACGCTGCAAGCCAAGGGGCTGTGTTGGTTCCGAGAGTGTTGGGCGGTTTACTCCGTAGGCGGACTGCTAACACTGAAGTCGCCATAACGGAGCAGCATGTGCCACATGCGGGACATGGAGTATGGGGTGAGAGTTCATCTTGTCTGTGATTGTGACTGGCTTGGCATCCGACGAAATGTCAAATGTATGTACGCAGTGGCTCTCACGATTCGTCTCTCTCAACAGGTGGAAAACCAATCCTGCAGGGAAAAGCAGCCTATTCTTGTGCACGTTAGCCTAGTAGTACTAGGAATTGTAGGTGCCAATTGATAGTGTCCGACTTGAGTGCTGTCATGATAACGACAATTGAGATTCGTGAAACAGCACAGCCACGGTAGGCGGCTGAACTCCGAGATGTGGGCTTGCGGTCCTCCTCTGGGAGCACACAGCGTATGGCTAAATGTACTTTGTACGTGAGGGAAGCTTTGCATATTTGTGCCGATTTATTGTCTTGCGTCGATGCCGTGGCCGGTTCGCTGATTATTTGATCGACGTCGGCGGAAAAAAATGGAAATACTTGGGCAGCTCCAACTCCCCCATATGCGGGTTTGACGTTTGTGGACGGCAATGCGAACGAGGCCGCATCCTTCCCGACGAGGCGCAGCACGAGGCAGGCACCGCAAGGCATCGCGCAACAGGCTGACTGTGGGAGGTCACACTCCGTTGTTCTTTCCCTTTTGGGGCCTGTGCCTAACATTGGCCAACCCGGAGGCCATGTCCACTCAACTGCCACTGTCTTCCGTCCTGCCATTGGCTGTTCAGTCTCGTTTGGGGGCAGCCCCGCTCCTCCCGGCGCCACCAGGCCCTCAGCCGCCATTGACTGTGCCTCACTGGCCGTGACCGTCGACCCTCAATCGTCTTCACCACCACATGCATGCACCATCGCATCGTTTCTACCATTGCTAAACTGGTACGGCCCGCGTCCGCGATGCCGGCTCGCTATCCAGGGACCCCGCCGTGGTGGAGGCCGCTGGTGGGTAGACTAGATTTCTAGCTGGCGTTTCCCTTTGGAGAGAGCTAACCATGCCGCAACCTTCGCCAAGTGCTTCGCAGATTCTAGAGCTAGGGGTGGCTCAGTGCTGACAATCTGCGGCCCAGAATGAGGCTTCAGATGGTTTTGTATAAAAGGGCAGCCGCAGCGCAATGTCTTGACTTTGCTCAACCGCCTCGACCATCTCTTCTGCTTGGCATGGGATCTTGGACGAGGGTTTATACCTCGTTCGAAACCGGTCCATAACCGACGTCTGCATTATAGAACCCAAAGCCCAGTCTCGACAGGCCTTATCCTGAACACACCATCATGACCAACTTGAGGCCATCACCTCCCAAGCTGGCGATACCAGCCTCACACGGCTCGCCGTCTGCAGTTAGTGCTACAATACAGACAGGACGTCCCTCCATGTGGAGTAAATCTGCCCAGAGGAAGTTGACGCGCCTTTATGTGTATACCACACTACCATTGACCAAGATTGTCGATTTGGTTCATTCTCACACACCTGGGACGGCGCCTGGGTGAGCTCATACTCATTTCACATACCTTCTTATGCGAGTGTCGTACTGATGTGCAGCATAGTCGAGAGTCGGCCCACAAGAAACTCAACATCCTCCTAGACAAAGAGCCACGATGGTTACACCCAAAGACTAATGAAGATATGGACCGTCGCATAACTGAACTGGCCAACTCTCCCACCAGACTCAAGTCGGCTGAATATGCTGCCTTTGGCCCTTTGCGATCCATCTCCGACAAATTGTCGATATCCCCCAGCCCTCAGAGACTCGAGACGGAAGACAGCGTGAGCCCAGCGCCTTTTGATGTCTCGCCTCTGCATCGACCGGCCGCGACTTTTGCCTCACACCAGCCAGCAGATGGAGCCTTGAACTTTTGGGTTTCCCCTGGCGCTCGGTCCTCCATGGCAATGTCACCAGCTGAGGATGCAGCTGATCCACCGCATTTCGCAAAGTTCCTCCGCCAGACGACATGCCTCTCTAACGCCACCAGCAATACTACTGGTTCGTTCCAACGCGTTCTCTCCGATTTCTCAGAACCTTACGTGCAGACTGTCAAGAGGCTCGTGAAACGATTTACGGCTCCAATGGGTAGTCGGCCCGGCTTGTCGCCTTACTCAGAAGGCAGTTCTGCCATTGAAACCTGGGCTGATGAGGAGGATTGCCCTCCGGAGTTTGATGGCCGGCCCTTTCCTATACCAAGCGATTTCCTAAACCTGGACGAGTACCAGAGCACGGGAGTGTGCTACTCTACCCATGATGTTCATGATAGACGCCGCTGTCTTTGTTTCATGCCTCTGGATACTTGTGTGCTTCCTTGGGTGACTCGTCAAGGGCTCACACCCGTTGGGCAGCGACTACTGTCCAACGGACCGAGAGAGCAGGATTTTGGCCCCAGCGATTCTTTTGGAAACACCGTCCTGCACTTTCTAGCTGCCAGGGGTTCCTACGAGTTGGTTGAGCGTTCCTTGAGGAGTGACTTGTGCAAGTCCCGGATTGAAGCGAAGAACTCTGCCGGCCAAACGTTCCTTCACGTTCTAAATGCATCGATTCTTAGAAATCCGGACCATGTCGAAAACCTGTTGGACATCGTCACAGCGAGAGGCTATGACATTCATATGAGGGATCATTACGGTCGTAGCTTCTTCCATTTACTTCAAGCTGGAGGCCACCCAAAAGAGCTTATCCAGCGTGTCTCACGGCGTTGCGACGGCAACTTCCACGTGGCCAGAGATGCGTTCGGCTTCACTCCTGCCAGAAACAGCTCAACCATGATGGACCTTGACGAGCCAAATGTCGTCGGGCTTCAAGACTCGTTTGGTCCCGCAGCCTTTTCCGACGCAGGGCTTACAAAAGAAAGCAAGCTCCTGGAAAATGTCCGCAAGGCAATGCTGAATCCTTATCTGCAAGACGAAGAGGGCCGCAATGGCTTGCATTGCCTGGCCATGGCTACTTTGAGTGAGGCTTCTGTGGTCAATAAGTACCATCTACAATCTTCTCAGAGAGACAGGGTCACCAAAAAAGGAGCAAAGCCCGAAAGGGAACTCGATTCTAGCTCGTCCAAGCTCGGGCTTCGCCTAGGGCTTCTCTCGGGGTTGTTGGACGCTGGCGTTGACCCTAACCAGCACGACAACAACGGCAACACGCCACTGATGACGTTTGTAGCCGAGCTGCCCGAGGAGGATGACTACAAGATTCCGCCTAGAATCCTGCAGCTGTTAATCGCCAGGGGGGCGAATATCCATGCCAGAAACAGGCGTGGGGAAACAGCGTTACACATTGCCGTGCGGTGTGGAAGGAAGCTGGCGATGAGGGCGTTGTTTGAGAAGGGGGCCAACGTCCACGCCAGAGACTCGGCAGGGAGAAGCCTGCTGGATGTTGCGGATGTTAAAATGCTGCACTGCGACAGCGACGAACACATGCGCGAGTATGCCCACTACGAGGCCTGCAGGGCTTGGTTGAGTGGTAAAGGTTTGGCGCTGCAGGGGCCAAGTGTTATTGATGAATGGGGCGGGGGGGTTCGTGCCTAGAGAGTCTGGTGTTTTCGATGATTTGGAGCAGAACATGGTGATTTGTTTGAGATGTTTGTGACACTTTGGAGTTTGGAGTTTGGCAATAGACGGCGTGACCAGGATAGGATACCCAGTGATTAACTATATAGACGGACACACGGAGTTGGATCAAGAGCTTGAATACAGATTTGCCTAGTA